CAGCAGGAAGAGGCTGAGCATGTGGAACCGCACTGGGAAGTATCACAAAGAACGAAGGGGGACGTGTCCCGGAGTCCTGAGGAGAGGCAGCAGGGAAACCAGTCAGGGGAGAAAATGGGCAAATCCATCAATTGTGAGGAAAATCACAAGGACCTCCAGGAAACCACAGCCCAGCAGAGAATCCTCATGGGAGAGAGGAAACACATATGCCCTGAGTGTGGGAGAAACTTCAGTAGACGCTCACACCTTATTCACCATGAGCGAATCCACACAGGAGAGAGACCCTATGAATGCTGTGAGTGTGGGAAAAACTTCACTCGGCGCTCAGACCTTATTAGACACCAGAAAACCCACACAGACGAGAGCCCCTATGAATGTTGTGAGTGCGGGAAAGCCTTCATTTACTGCTCAGACCTGAGGAGGCATCAGAGGATCCACAGGAGACAGAGACCCTATGAATGCTGTGAGTGCGGGAAAAGCTTCCATCAGGGGTCACACCTTATTTATCATCAGAGAATCCACCAGGGAGATAAACACCATAAAATCCTTGTGTAGGGCTGGCAAAACATACATTTTTCTTTAATATTTTTGGTACTTCCCACACGTGGCCTTTAAGGCTGTTAGTGCCATTTACATCATTGTGGTCTCAGCTCCCCCATGTGAATTGTCCGGTTCTGCTTTTAGCAGATAGCCCTTCTTTGGGGGGATCCCCAAAGCCCCGTTCTGCCAGCTGCTTTGTTCTATGAGTCGTGGGAGTGTGAGTCCATCTTACTAGGAATGTGCATCAGCCCCAGTGGGGGGAACACGAATTACCTCAGTTAGTTGCATTGTGGTAAAATCTACCTGGGCCTTGGCTCCATTTGCATTTTTTGCAGTTAGCCATCTCGAGTGAACTATCCAGATAGAAAATCACAACTCTGTTTTCTGCGCTGACATGGCCCAAGTACAATAGTCTGTGGATTTCAGAGCAGTTAGATTAGTCATCTTTTACACGGAAAGTAGTGCTGAACCATAATAGTGTCAGAACTGGTGGTCAGCTGTAATCACTTCCCAAACGCATGGAGCGTGTGGGAGTCAACTGGGCCCATCCATTGATAGAAGACGGTGTGAGGCTGCTATTCTTAGGCTAAGTGGGAGCAGTGGAGTGATAAATTGATGGGGTGCTGGTGACCCTGCAGTACCACTCAGCAGGGAGGGCTGAGAGCAGTGGGAGGAAGGGACGTGAGTGTCCTAGTGAGTGACAGGACTAGCTATATCTCTGTCCCCTTCCCAGTTTGCCTGACCTCTCTCCCCCGCCCCCCCTCCTCCTCCAGGTGTCAGCCGCATGCCTTTCCATCTCCTGGAGTGGATTTCTGCAATTCTCCCTCTCCCTGACCGGGCCCTAGGTTACCATACCCTGTGTACCAGCTGTGCTTACCCCGCCGGCCAGGCTGAGTGCTCCTTTGGTGTGCAGAAGGCTGTTTTATTTTTGCAATGGGGAAAAAGGATTTTAAAATAACAGCAACAGTCTTCACTCCTGTTTGTTCCCCGATGGTCAACGAGGCAGGTCTAAGGCCTTCAGACACCCCAGCGGGGTCATCTTGTCTCTTCCCCCAAACAGTCACCAGAACAGCCGTGCCCCTCACAAGAGGGAGTCCCTATTTTAACTGCGCCAGTCCATTTGATTTTCTGGTCCTGTTCGTCTAAGCCAAGTCTGTACAATCGCTGGAGCTAGGAGGTAGAATACTCAAAGCTAATCGTTCAGACATTGTCTCTTAACAATCCTTAAGGGTTTACCAAGGTGTGGCTCCTCTTGAGCCAGTCTTCTTCCCTTTCTGCTTCTTTTCCTGCCAGCCCCCTACTGAAGTAAACCAAAGTGTTCATGCCGTAAATATCCCAGTATCCAGGACAACACACAACACACCGTTATTACAGAGCCACTCCAGCTCCACCCCAGGGGGCTTGGGGAACTAGGACTAAGGACTTGTGTACTGTGAATGCTACGGTAGCAGAGCCACAGTGCTGCAGCTGCGCCGTAGTAGCAGATTCTCCCATCACCGTAGTCAATCCACCTCCCCAAGTGGTGCTAGCTAGGGGTTGCTGGAAGAATTCTCCCATTGGCCTAGGGCGGTCTGCACTGGGGGTTAGGTCAGCTTAATTGTGTCACTCAGGGATTTTTTCACCCCTAAAGAGTGATGGGTTAGCTGAACTTATGAGTGGCCTACGGGACACCAGGTAAGTGCGGAGGGTGGGGTCAGTGAGCGGGAGGGAGGGGTGGTTTGGGGATCTAGAGCCTGTTGTGAGAGAATCCCTGCCCAGTCCCCATTGGTGGAGAGCCTGCACTCCATTCTGATCAGAGTCCACTTTCAGTTCACATATTTTCAAATACTATGATTCTCATTCTTCTCTCTCCGCTGTTCAAGGCCTCCCTCCCTCCCACCCTCTTCCCTACAAACTGTGACCCCAGCCTCTATTCCTGGGTCCTCACAAGGTGACTCCTTCCCTGGCATTAATGGGCATTTGCTTGGTGACATCATAGGTTGGTAGTGAAATTTCTGGGGACTTGGAGGGCCCTGTTCCCCTGTAGCTATCTGCAGCAGCCTCAGTCTCTCTTCCCTGCTGGCTCCTTGGATCTCTGAGATGGTCCCTGCTGAGATCCCATGGTCTTATTCTTACTTTTCCAGAGGAATTA